TCCAAACCGCTAAATCACCCTCAATCCCATGCCTCCGTATTTTCTGCCTACCATGGGGAACCTTATCAAACGCTTCTCATTAGCAGCTATTGGAATTCAGAGAACAGAAACTAAGTTATAAGTATTATTGAATCTTCCTCAGAGTGAATTAGTGAAGGTAGTATTGATCAATCAAGAGACAATCCGATGTACCTGAGAAACAATGCATTATTGAAACTGCTGAAATGATCTGGCCAGTTTTGTTATTTTTCCTTTGTTAATTTATTCCCTAGTTGTATTTGTTTGTCTGTCTTTTGTGTGAATGGAACTGAAAACAAAGGTCATTGGGTTTAAATCAGAGACTTTAATTATTTTGTTGTTAAAGTTACTGCATTGTTACTAAACTGTTAACTCTTTTTCTGAAGCCATAAAGCTGCTGTCTGATATCAATTATTCACAAAGTCTGAGACTGCTTACTTAAAAAGTCTGGTGAGGAACCACTGGGGTCTGTGAGGGTTTTAACTTTCCTGTGTTGCTAATACAGAAATAGGGAGACTGATCTCATTTGACTATCTGTATCCGTGTCATAACATTATCATTACTGATTTCCTTCAATTCTGCACTCTCACTAGACCCTAGGTTCAGTATCATTTTTGGAAGGCTTCTTGTGCCTTAGAGTCATACAGCATGGAAACAGACCCTTTGGTCCAACTAGTCCATGCTGACCAGGTTCCCAAACTAAACTAGGCCCACCTGCCTGCCCCTGGCCCATATCCCTCCAAACCTTTCCAATTCATGTGCTTATCCAAATGTCTTTTGGACATTGTAACTGTACCCGTACCCACCACTTTCTCTGGAAGTTAATTCCACACACGAACCAATCTCTGTGTAAAAGCCTTGCCCTTCATGTCCTTTTTAAAATGGTCTGTCACTTGTTTTGCAAAAACTGAGCTATATACTACATGTTCATTTCTTCTGCCATATCTTTGCTCCCCAATATAATCATGGGGGCTCTCATAGAAACCTGTGAAATTCTAACATGACGGGGTAAACACAGGAAGGTATTCAACGACAGAGGGAATGCAAAAGCAGGGGTCACAGTTTAAGGTTGGCCTTTTAGGACTGGGATGAAATGAAATTTCTTCACCCAGAGAGTGGTGAGCTTGTGGAATTCCCTGCCACAGAAAGCAGTTGAGACCAAAATAATTGAATGTTTCAAGAAGGAGTTAGATATCGTTCATTGGGCTAAAGAGATCAAACGGGAGAAAGTGGAAACAGGGCAGTGAGATGCAGGATCAGCCATGATCACATTGAATGGTGCAGCAGGCTCAAAGGGCCGAATGGCCTACACCTGCTCTTATTTTCAATGCCGCTAATAATTTCCCCAGTTTCTGTGTAAGGGACCTACATTTGTTTTTAATAATTTTTTTTAATCACGTATTTACAGAAGTTTTGAGGGCGAGTTTCAATACTCCTTACAATTTTACTCTCATACTTTACTTTCCCCGCCTTGATTAAGCATTTTGTTATTTAATGCTGAATTTCTGAAATGCTCCCAACTCAGGCTTGCTGCTTTTTCTGGCCATTTTGTGTCTCTCTTCTTTGGAACTAATACTAAACGTAATTTCACTTTGTACCAAATTGTACTCTGTTTGTGAGATCTTTACCCACACTTGACCTATCAATATCCCTCTGAAGCAACCTTATGTCTTCCTCACAACTGCCCTTCCTACCTATGTTTCTGTCATCAGCACATTTGGCATCAATATCTCCCATCCCTTCACACTTTGATAGATTTTAGCTGAGGTCCAGCACCAAACACTGCAGCACATTGTTCATTACATCTCCCATCCCTTCATCCATCTCTCCACCTCCGACCCCTTCACTCCCTCTCTCCCTCTACTTCTCTCCTTCCTCCTCACTCTTAATTCTGTATCTAACCCTATGCTACACTTGACTCAGAATATTTGATGGGAGAGTGGAGAGAGAGTTTATTCTGTATCTAATTTCAGGCAGTGTTTGATGGGGACAAGTAGAGGAAGCTACACTCTGTATCTAGCCTTTGTTGTACCCACACTGGCAGTGTTTGATGGGAGCTGTGCTTTCAGTTTAAAAGAGTACAGGAAGCTTTACTCTCTCTGACCCCAGGTCATCTCTGTCCTGGGAACATTGATGTGGACAGTGTCAAGGGAACCTTATTTTCAGTTTAAAAGAGTAGAGAGTAGTTTACTCTGTAAATAACCCTGTGCAGTCCCTGCCCAGGGAGTGTTTGAAGGAGACAGTGTCAAGGAAGATTTACTCTGTATTAGACCTGTCCTGGGAATGTTTGATGTGACAATATAGAGTGAGCATTACTCTGTATCTAACCCCATGCTGTCCCTGTCCTCGGGGCGTTCTATGGGGGACAGTGTAGAGGAACAAAAACAGAAGTTGCTGAAAAAGCTCAGCAGGTCTGGCAGCATCTGTGAAAAAAACAATCAGAGTTAACGTTTCGGGTCCGGTGACCCTTCCTCAGAACTCAGGTTTTTTCTTCACAGATGCTGCCAGACCTGCTGAGCGTTTCCAGCGACTTCTGTTTTTATTCCTGATTTACAGCATCCACAGTTCTTTCAGCTTTTACTGTATAGAGAAAGCCTTACTCTGTATCTAACCCCGTGCTGTCCCTGTCCTCGGTGTGTTTTATGGGGACAGTATCGAGGAAGGTTTACTCTGTATCTAACCCCATGCTATCTCTGTCCTGGGAGTGTTTGATGTGACAGCGTAGAGGAAGCTATAGGAAGGATATTGTGAAACTAGAAATGGTTTAGACAAGATTTACGAGGATGTTGCTCGGGTTGGAGGGTTTGAGCTAAAGGGACAGGCTGAATAGGCTGGTGAATTTTCCCTGGGCTAGAGGCTGAGGGGTGACCTTATAAAGGTTTATAAAAGCATGAGGGGCATTGATAGGGTGAATAGCCAAGGTCTTTTCTCCAGGGTGGGGGAGTCCAAAACTAGAGGGCATAGATTTAAGGTGAGAGGGGAAGGATTTAAAAGGGACCTGACAGACAATATTTTCACGCAGAGGGTGGTGCGTGTATGGAATGAGCTGCCTGAGTAATTGGAGGAGGCTGGTACAATTAGCTTTACTCTGTATCTCACCCCGTGCCGGGAGTGCTTAATGTGACTGTATAGGGGGAGCTTTATTCTGTATCTAACCCCATGCTGTCCCTGTCCTCGGAGTGTTTGATGGGACAGAGTGAAATAGAGGTTCCTCACCAGCTCTGTTTGTTTCTGTTGTTTCGAGGTGCCATGTGGCTCTGAAGTATTCCGTTGTCTGTTCTCTTCCTGTTGCTGGATCAGAATGCGGTTAACAGCATTCATGGCTGCCTCCCGACACAGAGCCATCAAGTCAGCGCCCACATAACCAGGAGTCAGGCGGGCAAGCTGGTGGAAATCAAACGATTCTGGCAGTTTCAGTGTTCGACACAAAGTCCTCAAAATCCTGAACGGAATCAGGGAAATTAACATGATCAGACAGTTACAGGGAGAATGTACAAGACAGCCACAGAATGGAAGATTCTGTAACTGGCAGAAAAACGGATAACTCTCTTAATCTGAAGACACCAGCATTTATGGAGAGATGGTGCTGTAGTGGTAATGTCGATGAACTAGTAATCCATAACCACAAATTAGAGAAATGGTCTCAAATACAGCCATGGTAGCTGGTGGAAATTAAAGGAGGTGTCTGCTATGTATGTAATTGGGTGTGTGCTGGCCCTTTAAGAGAGTGGGTCAGGTGACCCAGAGGTAGGAGCTAGGGCAGACAGTCTACAACCAACTGTGGAGCTGAGAGGACACAAAATAAAGTGTTCCCCGTTCAAGTTTACCCTCCATCTACCTCATGTTCTATGATTCTAGTGAACCACAAACGTAATAACTGGCTACAAGAAGGGAATCCCACCCACAAACTGTACAAATGCTGGGGTTTTTTTTTTAGATCAGGAGGAAGGACTGTGCCCAGACTTCAAAAATGGTGCAGGACTGAGGAGTTAACGCTGAAGCAGTCACAAGAGGACATGAGCTGCAGTGGAGCGGGCTGCGAGGGGACTCAGGTTGTGAAGGGACTGAGGTTGCAGCCGCTGGCTGAAGAGGGGAGTGCTCACCCTTCTGGAGCTTACCAAGCATTCATTACACTCACAGTGTGTGTACCACCTATAAGGTGCATTGCAGAAATTCACCAAAGATCCTTAGACAGCATTTTCCAAGCTTACAACTACTTCCATCTAAAAGGACAAGGGCAGCAGGTACATGGGAACACCACATTCTGCAAGTTCTCTCCCAAGCCATTCACCATCCTGACTTGGAAATATATCGCTGCTCCTTCACTGTCTCTGGGTCAAAATCCTGGAATTCCCTCTCTAAGGACATTTACCTACAGCACATAGACTGCAGCGGTTCAAGAAGGCAGCTCACCACTGCCTTCTCAAGGTCAGCTAACGATGGGCAATAAATGCGGTGAATAACTCTAAATGCGGAGGAAAAGGGAAAATCTTCTAACTACCTATCGCAGGGAGAGTCCATTGACTGTAAACAGAGGGGGTGACCTGTCACAGAGAGAGTCCATTCACTGTAGAAGGGTGAATGATCATTAACATGTCCTCACCGCACAACAACAGATTGATTAGAGACTCACTGTTCACGGGCACCCTCACTTGGAATTCCCAGGCAAATCTCCCGGTCAAAGCGCCCAGCCCTTCGCAGTGCAGGGTCCAATGAGTCTGGCCTGTTGGTCGCACCTATAACCAGGACTTGTGTGGTGCTTGCCAGGTTATTCAGATCTGTAACAGCAAAGTACAGGCCACTCAAAATCTCCCCCACAATTTGACAGTGCTCATTCCAACCACACCCACACAGTTTTACAGAGTCCCAGCACAATCCCTAATCACAGAGAGTACAGCAGGAAGAATAAACAACAGTGGAAGGGGAGAGGAGACGAACAAAAATGATGCTGCACAATGAGGTGCTTTTTAATCAAATTCTAATTATTGCTGGGTCTTTGTTGGTTTGTCAGAATGACAGGCATTCTCTGTGGATATATGTAAAACAAGTCATTAAACTCCCGATTGCTGCTTTATAATGCCCTTATTACACCTGATACTAATGGTATGGGAACAACACAGGTCAAAGAATGACAGTTCAGCATAAGAAACAATAGGAGAAGGGTGTATGAAAGGGAGAAGTCACAGTCAGTCAGATAGCAGAATAAAACCAATTAAATAAACAGAACCAGACTGAAGCTTATGGGGGAATTAGGAACATAAGGACGTGTATGTCTATGTGCGCCATAATGTACCTGCTGTATAACACTGTATATTGTAAACTGGGTGCTTGTTGAAGAAACGTGGACGTATCGAACTAACGCTAAACACTGCAAGCATCATTTGATGAAGCAGAGAGACCATGCATTTTTTATGGTCATGAACTGGGCCAGGATTTGGGGCTGGGTAAGGGGGTAGTGTAGAGGACAGTGATAGAGAGAAGGCAACAATTGCTAAACAAAGTAAAACAACTCAGTGACAACTGCTGAGCCGAGATTCCTGTGCAGCTCCGGGATGCAGTGGGGAGGTGCAGAGCTGTCCCCTCCCCAATGCCCAGCTCTGAGACCACCTCCAACAACTCCCAAGACACCCAAACCCACTGCGAGTCCCCCTTTCCCAGCCCAAGTCCCTGAACACCCACCCAGATCCCAGCACAGTGCGACTCACCATCCATGCAGGTCAGCAGCTGAGCCACAATCCGACGTTCCATATCCTTGGAAGCCACTTCCCGTTTGGGAGAAATGGCATCAATCTCATCAATGAAAACGATGCAGGGAGCCTGCAGCTGGTGTAAAAGAAACAGGATCCATGTGCGCGGTGACATCAAAATCCACAACATTTCGCAGCAGCAGCTAAGTCGTGGTCCACATAGGCACCAACGACATAGGTAGGAAAAGGGATGGGGACGTAAGGCAGAAATTCAAGGAGCTAGGGTGGAAGCTTAGAGCTAGAACAAACCGAGTTGTTATCTCTGGTTTGTTACCCGTGCCACGTGCTAGTGAGGCGAGGAATAGGGAGAGAGAGCAGTTGAACACGTGGCTACAGGGATGGTGCAGGAGGGAGGGATTCAGATACCTGGATAATTGGGGCTCATTCTGGGGTAAATAGGACCTCTACACCTGAACCAGAGGGGTACCAATATCCTGGGGGGGAAATTTGCTAATGCTCTTCGGGAGGGTTTAAACTAATTCAACAGGGGGGTGGGAACCTGAATTGCAGCTCCAGTGTACAGGAGGTTGAGAGTAGTGAGGTCATGAATAAGGTTTCAAGGTTGCAGGAGTGTACTGGCAGGCAGGAAGGTGGTTTGAAGTGTGTCTACTTCAATGCCAGGAGCATCCGGAATAAGGTGGGTGAACTTGCAGCATGGGTTGGTACCTGGGACTTCGATGTTGTGGCTATTTCGGAGACATGGATAGAGCAGGGACAGGAATGGTTGTTGCGGGTTCCGGGGTTTAGGTGTTTCAGTAAGATCAGGGAAGGTGGTAAAAGAGGGGGAGGTGTGGCATTGTTAGTCAAGGACAGTATTACGGTGGCAGAAAGGACGTTTGATGACAACTCGTCTACTGAGGTAGTATGGGCTGAGGTTAGAACCAGGAAAGGAGAGGTCACCCTGTTGGGAGTTTTCTATAGGCCTCCGAAAAGTTCCAGAGATGTAGAGGAAA